ATCGATGTCTTTGAATATGGGCGAAGTTTTTCGAGGCACAGTGCAGCTAGTGAGAATCAGTTTAGGAATCTAATGTTCATGTCATATACTGGCTCCACAACCTTTAGATTCACAATATGGTACGTCAAGTCTAACGCTACATCTATCAGACAAAAGTGTGATGACTGAAGTTTCGGTAAAATTATATGGTAATCCTCTCAGGTTTTGTACTATACCCTGCCGGGTGGTATTCCGTATCTCTTAAACTGTAAGATCTTTACGCCATATACCGACGTGTCTGTAATTTCTCGTTCGCAACGTCATGCTCTAATAGTCACGATTTTTATTCCTTTTACTTTTTGGGTAAATTGACGCATCCTGTGAAGTGACTCAAAAGGAACATGTAAAAGATGTGAATTAATTTCTTATTATCTGAATAAATCTTCCCAAGAATTGTTTCTCAATTCTGATTTTACTTCCTTAAGTTCATTGTAGTAGGACTTCTTTGCATTTAAACATCCACGTGCGTTTGAGCAAAACGACGGAACTCTGATGCCATTCAGTGATAGATAACTACGCCATGTGGGATAAGCTATTCACTTGAACATTCAATTGTTACACTTTCTAAATGCAGATAAACTAACTGCACATTGGTTGTGCGAATCCGTGTTATTTAGGCTTATTTTCTTAACCCGAAGTTAATGAGCAACACTAAAAGGATACGAATCTTTATATTTATCATCCAATGGATTTTCATGTTATCGAGATGACTAAATTATCAAGATGGAGTGGTTACATGGTAAATGACATCAAAAGTGGTCTATCAGTAAATGTTACAACAATAAATTCTAAGGTTTTTAACTTACAGTTCGGTCCAGTAGCATGTTTAATTAATTACGTGTTAACAACGGTCCGATGCGGAAATAGACAACCCTGAAAGTAGTATTAAGTGTATGCATCACAGTCTGTATAAACCAATTTACATTCACACTGCATTCCCATGTCTAGATCAGATGATTGCAAAATAAAACCGGTATTATCTTGCGATATAACAATCAACTATAGAATATGTGTAGTGATCCAAGGCAGCGCAGAAAAATACATACTGAAACGACCTCAGTTGCAAGTAACAATAAAACTACTGAAATAAGCAAATACCAGGATCTAAGAAACTGTCGTCAGAAGCTCGAAATGTTGGGTACAGTAGTACTCTCATACAACGCCACATGAGTGTTGCGGTACAGATTCCAATCCACATTGTATCCAAAACATACCTAAGTAAGCTCAGCAGTCCGGATATGCGTGCATGACAAATGCTCATGGATATCTACACGTCCCAAACACGCCACAGGTCCAGGTAACTCTCTGTAAAAAGGTTTTGGGAACATACTATCAACAGAAGACAGGCATTTTAAATTTCTACTTTCTATCCACTAGGCTCCAACGTATGACAATAATAAATCCCACTAACCTCCGACGCAGCTGTATGCCGATCAAAATTAACTATAACTGATGAGAATCAGACGATTGCCAATTGTGGTATCAAACTTAAACCCGTATATATACCAAAAGCAAGGTTCAGAGATCTATATTGTAATTTATTTTTCAATGTGAATCTACAAACATGAACAAAGTTTTATATAATTGGATAACATCACATTCCTGATTTATTGGGAGATGTCATTTTCGAACAAGATTTCCTGGTTTACGTAGTGACATTTTGAATACATCCAAGGTGAAAGCTGTGGCTACGTCGTCTTGGTCATTAACAGCCCGACCCACAAATCGGTCATCCCATGATTGTTTTGGAGCATATAATCTTGAATTTGTAGTTCTGAAATCCAAGGAACCAAAAGTTAATCGAGTTAGTTATGATAATCTTAAACCAGAGCAGTATACGGCACTACATATATCAGTTTAGTTTAACTCCATCAAATTAATCTTAAACCTGTGTAGTGTAAGGATAAACTGAGTCTGAACACATCCATATCCACGGTATATAGACCAGAGGACAAAAAGAAGAGGAAATATTCCAGCACTATGGGGAGACAGTACTGCATCATCATTAGTCGAGGACGACTTTGGTAAAGCTCAAGTATTCTCAAACTATTTTAGCAATTTATATACCGTGAAAACACCCTTCCCGTCAGTCCATAAAAATCCCCCCACACACTGGACAGCATGACCATTGAAGAACTCGATGTCTCTGGCCTGGTAAGTAAGCTTGACATAGGCAAACCCTCGAGGTCCGATGGACGGCATCCTAGGTTACTAAAGGAATTAGCGAACTTCATTGAGAACTCTTTGAGTATATGCCTTAATCTATCCGTAACCCAGGGTCATTTACCAAAAGACCGGAAGAACGCCATAGTAAGTTCCGTCTTCAAAACAGGTACGAAAAGTAAACTTGAGAATTACCAACTAGTTAGCTAACTAGTGTGGTTGTTAAAAATTTATAGATTATTCGGAAGGAGCTGTTTAAGTATCTCGATGAAAACCGGATACTTTCGGAAAAGCAACATGATTATAGAATAGGTTATTCCTATCTCAATAACTTATTAGTGGTTCGTGAAAACTGGTGCTCTCTTAAGGACCAAAATTTACCCGTAGACGTAGCCTACATTGACTTCAGCAAAGTATTCGACAAAGTTTCGCACAACCGGCTGTTATATGAGTTAAGAAATGTCGGGGTTGGAGGAAATCTATTGACGTGGATAAAATACTTCCTAGTTGGGCGCCAACAAAGTATGGGTGAACTCCAAGTTGTCTAGCTGGGAAACTGTGCTTAGTAGAGTGCCTCAGGGTACAATTTTGGGGCTAGTGTTATTCCTCTTGTATGTAAATGACCTTCCTTTTCTCCTACTATCATCGGTCTTGCTATATGCTGACGATGTCAAGATATGGAGAGCGATACGAAGTAAGGGTAATAGCTTAGAACTCCAAAATGACCTGGAGAAATTATCTGGATGGTCTCAAACATGGCAGTTGCCGATAAATACTTTCAAGAGTATTGTGATGCATACCCGTCTTTAAGGCACAGGTACGTACATGATGAATGACACTGTTGTCCAAGCACACAATGACTTAGGAGTCATCGTTAGCCTTGACTTAAAGACGACTGCACACTGCCGTGCAATAGCCGCCAAAGGTTTTAGAACTTTATGGTCAATACGTGGGGCCTTTAGTCATGTCGACGCTAAACGATTTTTGGCTTTGTATACAGTATTCGTGCGTCCTAAACTTTAGAATTGCATATAATCGGCTAGCCCCTTCTTAAAAATTATTGTGAGATTTGGAAAAGGTTCAGAGAACAGCAACTAAGCTGATTCTCGGGATAGAGAAGCTTCCGTATGATGCTCGACTAGCCTATTCAGTCGGTCGCAACGTATATTTTCGTACGTTCGTAATTCAGTCTGAGTTGCCATACCACATTAACATCGAGATACAATTGTCGATTCACATCCCATAGTGGTGGAGGTAGTAAAAGTATAAGCAGTAGTCGGAGACATTAGGGTTAAATGTTATTCAAGGAGTATAATCCAGTGAAATAAATTTGGAAAGAGAAAGGAAGGAGCATGAATATCTGGTCTATACCGCCACGTCCAGGTCGAAAACCAGCCTGGTTTTCTCTAGTCTGCTCTTCACGAGCTTTAGTTAGGCGTCGACGTATTATTGAAGCTAATATTTTAAACACTATATTAGTCAAACTGGTTCCTTTAGGATTGTCATTGTTTTTCCTTTCTTATAGACTGGCACAATCAGTGATTGAGACCAGTCAGATGGGATTACGTCCGGCTCCCAGATCCTACCTAAGACCTCAGTCAATCTCACTACTAATACTGGACCGCCATCCTTAAAAAACTCAAGGGTGAACCTATAATGGTCCGCTGCTCTCCCACGCTCCAGATTCATCATAGCTTTTTCAATTTCGTAAAGAGTTGGAGGACTTACATCAACTTGCCATTCAGGTCGAATGGAGATAGTGGGAAACCGAAGTGTGGCTGAAGGCCAGTTCAACCGATCCCTAAATTGTTCTGCCCATCTATCCAAACTCCTGGATTGAGAGTGAATAGTATGCTAGGATTTTCCCACGAGGTCGAGTGATTTCAGGGCAATACAGCCTGCTTCCTTTAAACGAGATTGCCCACTTAGCACATCTAGCTAACCTTTGAGATTATCTAAGCATCCCCCTAAATTAAGACCACTGTGAAAAACGCACAAACTGCGTCATAACTTTACTTAAGCAATTTGATGCATACGAGGAAACATTTCTGAAAATAGTGCAAGTTTACTCAGTAGCCCCAATAACACCACTGCCCAATTTCAATAAACTAAAGGCTCGATTTCACATTTCAGATGGCGCTTATGACATACTAGTACAGCAAGTGGTGGTTAGTAAAACGCCTGCTGACTACACTGAAAGCTATGAGGAACTAAAATGAACGCAACATAAGCAAGGGTGAACGGGGAACATCCCAACCTGCAACAGAGCAGCCAGTGCTGGAAACCGGTGATAATCATAACATTAACATGAAAAAATAGTGTGAAAAACCAACGTTTTGAAACGATGGATTTGATTTTTGACATTCGGAAAATACAAATCTACAACACTCGGTAAAAGTATAATACACAGAAGACCTTGGCGACTTACCAGCTAATCAGGAAACGCTATCCAGTTATAAAACAGCCAATACAAAATAATAATACCACATAATCAACCTACAACATTCCTCTTGAATGGAAAACGTTGGGGAATTTTATTCAGCTCCTCGTCACAACATTAGCAATACAAATGTAGTCAAAAGAAGCAAACTCGGTTGGTTTCAAACAACTACAACTCCACCGAAACTGCAAACTAGACGAGGCGAAATGGTGAACGAAATACAGTATTCATGTTGTTTTGCTATGACCTCGGAAAGGACGCAGATCGCGCCACTAGCTCAAAGATTTGATTGGTTGTCAGGATGAGTGAGGAGAAAATATGCTATACCCACAATCATAGTGACTAAGCCAATAGGTAACTGGAAGTCACACCAGCAGCGACCATACCTGTCTAATTATTCAGTTTACCAATAGGAATACGATTACGTAGGTGGAATGTCTCGTCCAATAGAATGCCAGTGAAGCCAACTTACTAAATACAAACCAATCACATCTCAGTTAGGTCGTTTTGTAGACAAACGACCTGTATATCACTCTAATTCCAATCTCGTTAGCTGTGGTCGTGAGTTGATTGTATTGCTGGAGATGGGTGACGGATCCAGGAAAGCTGTTATCAAAAATGTAGATATGTCCGAGGAAATGCAACAAGATGCGATAGAGGCAGCAACCCAAGCATTTGAAAAGTACAACATCGAGAAAGATATTGCTGCATATATTAAGAAAGAAGTATGTCCCATTCTTTTATATTTTATGAAATAGTTCGACAAGAAACATAGTCCAACTTGGCATTGTGTCGTTGGGAGGAACTTTGGGAGCTACGTAACACATGAAACAAAACACTTTATCTATTTCTACGCTGGACAAGTTGCAATCCTTTTGTTCAAATCCGGTTAATATGAAATGCATTTAGTGATTATGCTAACATTATAAAGTTTGTATTTGATTATAATTGGGTTTTTTTAATGAACGGAATACACTAATTAAGAGATTAAATAACAAAGATTAGTGCTGAACTAATCTTCCTTATATAATTGTTTTACTATGCGTTGAAGTGGTGACAATATTTATGCACACACTAAATTCTGCTCTCTAGGTGGGTGGCAATCTAGTTGCGCATACGGCGTCATTTGATCAGTTTTCTCGATATTTGATTAGATATGATAATCCCCCAAATGCCCTGGTACGGCCGAGAGTGGGGCGAGTCCGCTCTCCCTCTCGAAATACTCTCACACCACCACGCGTAAACAGACTCTGCCAGAGAAGTCCTATTCATTGCTTTCTTGTGGCGGGGGTGTTGTTTACAAAAATGAGAAGACGAAAAGCGAATGTCCGGCGCTTTAACCGGATCCCAAATCAATGGTGCACATGGGCTGCAGTATTCTGTGGGAAAAAATGGCGTATGAACCAATCGTTGGTCACCGGCTACCATGGGACTGCATCTCCTTACGATGCTCCACTGCCTTGTGGGTTAGACCTTTAGGTCAACGGCTCGGGGTGTGGCCCCCTAAGATAACCACCTGCTTCTGTCTGGGCACCGGGGCAGTGTTGATTGGATCCCCACCAACTGTCGGTTATGTGCTGTTAGATGAGAGTTCCATCAAAGTGAAAAGAAATCGGCGTGAGAAACGATGTCTTTTCGTCATCGCCTATGCCCCGACAGGTTGCAGCCCGGATCCAATCAGGGATGAGTTTTACCACCAGTTATCTGTTCTTCTCCGGAAAGTGCATTCGACAGATATTGTAGTACTAGCCGGAGACTTGAATGCTCAGGTCGGGCGTCTGGGCACAGAAGAGAGTCGTTTAGGTGGCCAATGGGGACTTGTTGGTCGCAGGACAGATAACGGGGACCGTCTACTGCAACTTTGCACAGACCACAAACTGTTTCTGGCTAGCACTAACATCCGACACAGTCATCGCCGTTGTGCCGCCTAACATCCTTCCTCTGCATCTCAAGCCTGGACTCAGATTGATCACATCGCGATCAGCTACCGTTGGCGTGGTTGTGTACAAGACTGCCGCTCCTTTTGGAGTACCTATCTGGACTCTGACCATGCTTTGGTCTGCGCCAATCTTACCTTACTTTTCAGTGGACAACGCAGTGACCGCCACCAACGGATTGATGTTAGCAAGCTGGTTGCAGCTTCTGTTGCTAGTAAGTGTCGAACTGAGTTAGTTTCTAGGCTAGCTACCATTCCACCGAAAAGTATGGATGAGCATTGGTTGCGATTGCATGACGCCATCATACTAATCACAGGCCAACAATCGTAGGGTTTCTTGACATCAGGACTGCCTTTGATTCGTTGGATAGGACTGTTCTCTGGGATTGTCTATTGAAGAAGAGTGTGCCTGAGAAGTTTATTCACATCCTAAAAGCCCTATATACAAACACCTCAGGTAGAGTGAGGGCGTACAACCACCTCTCTCCATTGTTCCATTCGATCAGTGGGGTTAGGAAGGGTTGCCCAATCTCACCATTCTTCTTCAACTTTGCCATCGATGACATTCTGGAAACAGCTCTGATGAATGTAAGTATTGATGGTGTGGATCTGTTGCCTGGAGAAAGACTTCTAGACCTTGAGTATGCGGATGATATTGTCTTACTGTGCGATAATTCATTGTATGTGTATGGGCTGTGATACTGCCCGGGTGCCCAAACCGAAGCAGGTGGTTATCTTAGGGGGCCACACCCCGAGCCTTTGACCTAATGGTCTAACCCACAAGGCAGTGGAACATCATGAGGAGATGCAATCCCATGGTAGCCGGTGACCAACGATTGGTTCATACGCCATTTGTTCCCGCAGGATACTGGAGCCCATGTGCACCATTGGTTTGTTATCCGGTTAAAGCGCCGGACGTTCGCTTTTTGTCCTCTCATTTTCGTAAACAACACCCCCGCCACGAGAAGGCAATGAGTAGGACTTCCCTGGCAGAGGCTGTATACGCGCGGCCGTGTGAGAGTATTTCGAGAGGGAGAGCGGACTCTCCCCACTCTCGGGCGTACCAGGGCGTTCTATGACTACGGCAACTACCTTTCTCGATCCGATAAACAACCAATCAATTCAAATAATTATCATTACTATTATTGTCATTATTAATATTATTATTACCATTATTGTTATTATTATTACTATTATTATTATTATTTTCCACATTATTCACCCTCTTTTATACTTATACAGCGGCTCGTCTTTGGTGGAAATTCGCCTTTATCTAAACGTTCTCGAGTCACTGTTCGGTTGAAAATTGTATGTTACCACCGAATACGAGAACTGAAGCAGTTTTTCTGAAACCACGTGCACCATTCAAACTGGCTGCCTTCAACGTTCGCACACTAATGCAGGTCGGACAACAGATAGGGCTGGCTATGTCTTTGGAAAGTCTCAATATTGATGTTTGTTGTCTATCCGAGACCCGTATTCAAGACTCTGGCGAAGTACTACAAATTCGATCTCCATCTGTCGCTTCGAAAAGCTTGTTTTACGTGCGCTTATCCGGGGACCCTGTGGCATCTTCGTCTGGTCTTGCTGGCGTTGGTGTCGCACTAAGCGCTAGAGCTGAGGCAGCACTAGTCGATTGGATCCCCATTAACAGACGGTTATGTGCTGTCAGATTAGAAAGTTCCATCAAAGTGAGAAGAAATCGGCGTGAGAAACGATGTCTTTTCGTCATCTCCGCCTATGCCCCGACAGATTGCAGCCCGGATGCAATCAAGGATGAGTTTTACCACCAGCTGTCTGTTCTTCTCCAGAAAGTGCGCTCGACAGATATTGTAGTACTAGCCGGAGACTTGAATGCGCAGGTCGGGCGTCTAGGCACAGAAGAGAGTCGTTTAGGTGGCCGATGGGGACTCGTTGGTCGCAGGTCAAATAACGGGGACGGTCTACTGCAACTTTGCACAGACCACAACCTGTTTCTGGCTAGCACTAACTTTCGGCACAGTCATCGCCGATGTGCCACCTGGCGTCCTCCCTCTGCATCCCAAGCCTGGACTCAGATTGATCACATCGCGATCAGCTTCCGCTGGCGTGGTTGTGTACAAGACTGCCGCTCCTTTTGGAGTACCTATCTGGACTCTGACCATGCTTTGGTCTGCGCCAATCTTACCTTACTTTTCAGTGGACAACGCAGTGACCGCCACCAACGGATTGATGTTAGCAAGCTGGTTGCAGCTTCTGTTGCTAGTAAGTGTCGAACTGAGTTAGTTTCTAGGCTAGCTACCATTCCACCGAAAAGTATGGATGAGCATTGGTTGCGATTGCATGACGCCATCATACTAATCACAGGCCAACAATCGTAGGGTTTCTTGACATCAGGACTGCCTTTGATTCGTTGGATAGGACTGTTCTCTGGGATTGTCTATTGAAGAAGAGTGTGCCTGAGAAGTTTATTCACATCCTAAAAGCCCTATATACAAACACCTCAGGTAGAGTGAGGGCGTACAACCACCTCTCTCCATTGTTCCATTCGATCAGTGGGGTTAGGAAGGGTTGCCCAATCTCACCATTCTTCTTCAACTTTGCCATCGATGACATTCTGGAAACAGCTCTGATGAATGTAAGTATTGATGGTGTGGATCTGTTGCCTGGAGAAAGACTTCTAGACCTTGAGTATGCGGATGATATTGTCTTACTGTGCGATAATTCATTGTATGTGTATGGGCTGTGATACTGCCCGGGTGCCCAAACCGAAGCAGGTGGTTATCTTAGGGGGCCACACCCCGAGCCTTTGACCTAATGGTCTAACCCACAAGGCAGTGGAACATCATGAGGAGATGCAATCCCATGGTAGCCGGTGACCAACGATTGGTTCATACGCCATTTGTTCCCGCAGGATACTGGAGCCCATGTGCACCATTGGTTTGTTATCCGGTTAAAGCGCCGGACGTTCGCTTTTTGTCCTCTCATTTTCGTAAACAACACCCCCGCCACGAGAAGGCAATGAGTAGGACTTCCCTGGCAGAGGCTGTATACGCGCGGCCGTGTGAGAGTATTTCGAGAGGGAGAGCGGACTCTCCCCACTCTCGGGCGTACCAGGGCGTTCTATGACTACGGCAACTACCTTTCTCGATCCGATAAACAACCAATCAATTCAAATAATTATCATTACTATTATTGTCATTATTAATATTATTATTACCATTATTGTTATTATTATTACTATTATTATTATTATTTTCCACATTATTCACCCTCTTTTATACTTATACAGCGGCTCGTCTTTGGTGGAAATTCGCCTTTATCTAAACGTTCTCGAGTCACTGTTCGGTTGAAAATTGTATGTTACCACCGAATACGAGAACTGAAGCAGTTTTTCTGAAACCACGTGCACCATTCAAACTGGCTGCCTTCAACGTTCGCACACTAATGCAGGTCGGACAACAGATAGGGCTGGCTATGTCTTTGGAAAGTCTCAATATTGATGTTTGTTGTCTATCCGAGGACCCGTATTCAAGACTCTGGCGAAGTACTACAAATTCGATCTCCATCTGTCGCTTCGAAAAGCTTGTTTTACGTGCGCTTATCCGGGGACCCTGTGGCATCTTCGTCTGGTCTTGCTGGCGTTGGTGTCGCACTAAGCGCTAGAGCTGAGGCAGCACTAGTCGATTGGATCCCCATTTAACAGACGGTTATGTGCTGTCAGATTAGAAAGTTCCATCAAAGTGAGAAGAAATCGGCGTGAGAAACGATGTCTTTCGTCATCTCCGCCTATGCCCGACAGATTGCAGCCCGGATGCAATCAAGGATGAGTTTTACCACCAGCTGTCTGTTCTTCTCCAGAAAGTGCGTCGACAGATTTGTAGTACTAGCCGGAGACTTGAATGCGCAGGTCGGGCGTCTAGGCACAGAAGAGAGGTCGTTTAGGTGGCGATGGGGACTCGTTGGTCGCAGGTCAAATAACGGGGACGGTCTACTGCAACTTGGCACAGACCACAACCTGTTTCTGGCTAGCACTAACTTTCGGCACAGTCAT